GGTGACTCGACTTTTGATGCTATTTTGATCCGTATGGTTTTTATTGACTAATTTTTGGAAATAGATCACTAGATCTTTCTTCCTAGTCTGTCTTTGACTGGCAGATCCTCTGAAATCTATTCATCACTGATGACCCTGTTGGCATTTGAAATACCGATGGTGTGGTCATTACTATACTAAGGCGAACATAGAATGACAAACTAAAAAAAAAAAAAAAAGAATGACAAACTGACAGATAATTATTAATAGTGACAGCAGGTTAATGTCTTCTTCTGACTTCTGACTGTTATCTAGTATTTCGAGTTTGAGTCCCACATTTCATTTAACAGATGCATTTGCCTTATTCAGTGAAGTTCTCTTTCAGGTAGCATTTCATCCTAATGAATTGCATTGTGTTGTTTTCCATTATTTTCCTTAATATGTCTCTGTTGTATGGTTTTGTGTATGTGTATGTGTGGTTTGTGAAAGTAGCTGGGCTATCTGAAAACCATTCCTCTTACCTGCTCCAGGTACTGCCTATTTTCTGTTACTGTTTATAGTATATCTTACCTCTTCATTGAATTTGCTTCTTACTTCATTATGAAAATAGTACTAGAAATCATATGAAAAGCACCTATCTGCGTACCTACATCTGTACTCATAAAATCTGGCTTTCTCTAATGTTATAGAATATAAACTATTCTTTTTGGCTAAGTTCATTTTTCTACTTGTGAACTTAATCTCCTCCCTCCTAGATTTATTGCTCCTATCCTAGAGAGGGTTAAATCAGGCTACTCCTTGGAGGCAAGGATTCTGGGGCTTCGTCTGACATACTTTGCACATGTTGTAAGGAGAGACAGGTCTTTAGAGAGGGACATCATGCTTGGGAAGGTGGAGGGACAGCGCAGGAGGGGAAGACCCTCTATGAGGTGGATTGATTCAGTGATTGGGGTAATTGGGATGGATGTGTCAGAGGCAGTGCGATTGGCACAGGATAGAGCAGGGTTTAGGGCTGTTGTACATTGGGTTGCAAATGACTGACACTGACGGCACATAACAACAACAACAACAACAGCAACGACAACAACATAATTAGCATTTTTTCTTCAAGTGTTTTTTCTTCTATTAAAGCCTGATGGCTTTAATACCTAATACTATACCTAAAGATGCTATAATACTTCCAACATTTTTTTTTAAAAAGAAATGAAAAATGTGACTGAACATTTTGTAATGATTCAGTAATGTCCTTTTTAATCTACTGCCAAAAAAAAAATACCCATTCCTTTTTCCTGAGCTCATTTCATTTAAACTTTTATCCCCATCTCTCCACTGTAATTACTCCTGCCATGGTCTGTCATTTGTTCTGTGTTGCTGAATCCAGTGATCAGTGCTCACACCCATTCCAGTGTTACTTCTTAATTGTTTTTAGGTCTGGTTGATTTGGCTCCAACTCTCATATTAAACAGAATAAAACACTGCATGGCCTTGTACCGTCTTCATAGTCATTTGCTCTGCTTGTACCCATTTAAGTAGCCATTATGTCAGTCCATCCTGTTATGGGTCACTTTCTTTCTGCTAATCCTCTGCTTTACCAAGCATGCTATCTTTCCCCAGGGACTGCTCCCTCCTGGTAACATGCACAAATCATTTGAGACGTAATCTCTCCAATCCTCACATTAGCATGCTGTCAGGTCGCCCTCCCTCAGAACTGGGAGTGTTTGAACTGCTGCCCTTTTGATTAGCAAATGAGTGCTTAGTTGTTGAGCTCTTTATCCAGACCCCTCTGCCTTTGAGTTGATTTGGACCCAATAACCTTCCATTGAGGTTCAGAGGCTGTAAGCCTTGAGGATAAAACAGTAGATCTTTTATTTTTTGCACAGAGAAGGCTCCTTAATTCTACTAATACTGTCAGTATGTTTTCAGAGTATTATTGTAGTTGTTGATTACCATCGAGTCGAGCGTGACTCATAGTGACTCTATGAACAGAAGACCTAATGCCTTTCTATAACTGTCATTATTTCTCCAAGTTCATAGAGTTTCCAGAGGCATGTGGTTTAGGAAGTGGATGCCACTTCTGCTTGCAAGCCTGGTTTACAACTGGGAGCTTCACTAAATATGTTCACATTGGGAAATCATTATGGTATTTGATACCCCAATGGCACAAATTTCAGCATCACAGCAAACCCAGGTTACTTCATATAGCACATTGACAAGGAATGATGTACAATGTGGAAGACTGTTCCTCCAGATAAAACATCACTACTCTCATTTAGTAGTGGTTAAGTGTCATAAAGTTGAATATGACTCATAGCGACCCTTGCACAAAAGACCTGAACTCTGTTGTATAACTAACATCATTTCTGTACATTAATTGAGTTTAGAGAATTTGTAGAGTTTAGAGAGTTTGCAGAATTTAGAGAGTTTGTTGCGTTTCCAGGGGCATCTAGTTTAGGAAGTGGTTGCCACTACTGCTTCCCAGCATAAATCAATCTGGAAGCTCATCCTGCATTGTACATAATGTGTAACCATTATGGTATTTGACAAGACTATGGAACAGCAGTAGTAAAGGCGATTAAAAAAAAGTTGGAAAGCATAAGCAATATCCTTTGGAAAAGTAATGGATAAGCAGTACATGATATTGTATTTAAATCTTAAATATTTATCTTAAAAATATTACATTATATACAAAGAAATTTTTATTCTGCAACATACAAATACAGGAATATAAGGCAAATAATCATTAAAAGCCACTTAAAGGTCTGTCTTGGAGAGGATGAAACCAACGCTGTCCTTGGAGGTTAGTATTTTGAAGCTCCACCTCACTTACTGTGGGCACATAGCCTGTAGAGATTGGTCCTTGGAGAAGGACATCATACACGGAAGGGTGGACAGATAGTGCAGGAGAGGAAGACCTCAGATGAAATGGATTGATGCAGTAGCTGGGGCGATGGGGGTTGGTGTGTCAGAATTAGTGAGACTGGTTCAAGACAGGGAATGGTTCAAAGCTGCTGTATATAGAGTTGTTATGCATCACAGGTGACTCAACCAATAACATTCTATGACAGGTTTGGAAGTAAGGAGTGGCATCCACTTCCTAAACAGTATGGTTCTGGAAACTCTGTGAACTTAAATAAATGTCGATATTTACCATATATTAAAATACTAATTTGCAGTACTCAACATTTTGTTTTAAAAAACAAAATGCCTATGTATGATTCTGTGAAAATGAAATAGAATTTGTATACTTCCACTCAGTTTAAAAAATTGTCTTTGCAGTTTCTTGCTTTGCATCAGAAAGCTGGACAATGACTAGGGATGATAGAAGGAGAATTGATGCCTTTGAGCTGTGGTATTGGAGAAGAGTATTGAATATACTGTGGACTGCTAGGAGTATAGACAGGTTCGTCCTAGAGAGGGTGAAACCAGATTGCTCCTTGGAGGCAAGGATTCTGAAGCTCCATCTTGGCAGCATGTTGCATGGAGGGACCAGTCCTTAGAGAGAGACTTCATGCTTGGGAGGGTGGAGGGACACTGCACAGGAGAGGAAGACCCTTGATGAGATGGATTGATTCAGTGACTGGGGTAGTGGGGGTAGGTATGTCACAGACAGTAAGATTGGCATAAGATAGAGCAGGGTTTAGGGCTGTTGTACACTATGAGTCACAGGTAACTCGATGGCACATAACAACAACAACACTACTCTCATTCCCATTAAATTGGAACCAACCCATAACTGACCCTCCAGAGGGCTTTCAGAAACTATAAATTGCACTTATGGGGATTGAGCATCTTTCTCTCCAGAGCAGCTGTTGTTTCCTCACCCAAAGAGAGTGAAAAATTGATGAAAGGGCACCAAGAATAATGAAACGGCATTTGTAACAGCATTTATATTTTTCCTCTCATCTCAGTTCTTAGATGTGATTAATAACCTTCTCAATGACTTGATGTGTATTTTGTTTTTAAAATTTAAATCATTACATATAACACTGAAGTCCCTAATATGTACTCAAAACAATGTATATCTTACATATTTTTAAACTTCACAAAAATTACTGACTGTATATCTTGATCCAGCTTGCTTTTTTCTACATAGTAATTTTTGGAAACATACTATTTTTTCCATTCTGATCTAAAAATTCAAAGTAATTTTAAAAAACTTCATTCTTAATTTTGAGGGTTGTAAGAGATGTTTAGATGTGTGTTTTAGGAAAACTGAAATTAGCTACATTCTGAAGAAAAAAAATAGATTTCCTTTCAACAATACTTTTGAAACACAGATAAGATTACTTCCTGTCTCTCAGTTTCCTGTATCCATGGCAACCTTATTTATACACTGATTGTAGAGGAACCAATGGGAAGAGTGGTTTCCTGAGCAAACTGTGGCTTTAAAAAAGAGGGGTGGAGGTCAACAATACCACAGAAAGAAGTGAAGTTTACAAGTGTCGCTCAGCAGCTTAAATTCTATACTGAAATCAGCAGTGATAATATGAATTTACTATTATTGGTAAGATTCCTTAGTTGTGAACTTCTAAATGAAGAAAAATTTCATTTTGATAAAAATGTTTAAAATGTACTTTTTCTATAATCTGAATTTTACGCAATTCTGTTATTTAATTGATATTTGACTTTTATTGATTATGGTAAAGGCATTTTTTTATGCAGAGACCTTCATTATTACACCAGCATATGGTTCATTAAAATTTCAATAAAATTATCAGTGAAAATTTTAAGCTAATCCTGCAAACATTTTGTTTTGCAGTTTATTAATTTGAATGAACATTTTGTCAAATAGTGGCTTAATTGCCTGGAGGTACGTCAAATCCTAGAATATAATCCAACCTTCATTATTTTCTGCTGTTACTGTAATATGATTACAATACTTTTTATTATTGTTAAAACAAAATAGAATACAGAATAGCTATTAATATACATGCTCAACCTAAGCACTTTGACGATTTACAGTTTTACCTTCTCTTTTTATAGCTAATTCTGATATGAACAGAAAAGCCAAGAACAGGGCTATGTGTGGATTACAGTTTTCTCTGCCTTGCCTACGACTGTTCCTTCTTGTTACCTGTTGTCTTATATTAATATTCCATAAAGAGATTCTTGGATGTTCGTCTGTGTGCCACCTCTGCACTGGGAGACAAATTAACTGCCGTAACTTGGGCCTTTCGAGTATTCCCAAGAATTTTCCTGAAAGTACAATTTTTCTTTATCTGACTGGAAATAATATATCATATATAAGTGAAAATGAATTTGCAAGACTTTATTCTCTTGTAGCATTGTATCTGGATAATTCTAGCATTGTCTATGTATACCCAAAAGCCTTTGTTGAATTGAAACATCTGTATTTCCTATACCTAAATGATAACTTTATAAAACGCTTGGATCCTGGAATGTTTGAAGGCCTTTCAAATCTTCGTAATTTATATTTACAGTCTAATCAAGTATCTTTTGTTCCAAGAGGAGTATTTAATGATCTAGTTTCAGTTCGATACTTAAATCTACAAAAGAATCGATTATCAGTCCTTGGGAGTAGTACCTTTGCTGGTATGATTGCTCTTCAAATACTTGATTTATCAAACAATAAAATTTTTAGGATATCAGACACAAGCTTTCAACATCTTGCAAACCTTAGTTGTTTGCATTTAGAAGCTAATAACTTAACAAAAGTACCATCAAATGCTTTTGGAATACTTAGGAGTCTTAAAAGACTTTCTTTGTCACATAACCGGATTGAAGCAATACATCCTTTTGCATTTAAAGGACTTGTCAACCTGGAATATCTCTTCCTGAAAAATGCAAGAATTAGAAATGTTACTAAGAACGGGTTTGGTGGAATTGATAATCTTAAATATTTAATCTTAAGTCATAATAATTTAGAAAACTTAAATTCTGACATGTTTAATGTGTTAAAGAACTTAACATACCTTCAACTTGATAACAACAGAATCATCACCATTGATAATGGTACATTTGCAAACATGGGAGCATCTTTGAAGATCCTTAACTTGTCATTTAATAACCTTACAGATTTACATCCGAGAGTCCTTAAGCCATTGTCTTCATTGGTTCGTCTTCAGGCAAATTTTAATCCTTGGGAATGTAACTGCAAATTATTGGGCCTTCGTGACTGGCTAGCGTCTTCAGCCATTACTCTAAACATCTTTTGTCAGAATCCCCCATCATTGCGTGGTCGAGCATTGCATTATATTAAGTGGACTGATGTCACAAACTGCTCTGTACTTTTGACGAATAGATCCAGAACTTTGGATATAAAATCTCTTTATACTCATCAGAAGACTACTGCATTTATGATGGCTTGGCATAAAGTAACTACAAATGGTAAACATTTGGAAAATACCGACGCGGAGAATGCTACATTTGGGGAACAAATTCATACATCATCTGCCAGTAGAGTTTTTCAAGACAATACCTTTGGTAATCCATTAGAAACAACCTCATTGTTACCTGTGCACATACAGTTTACTTCTTCTATTAACCACAGTGCTCTACCAAGTGATACTGTAGCAGTATCTGGGGAAACATCTTTAATTTGCACACAAGAAGTTGAAAAATTGAATGAGGCTTTTGACATTTTGCTAGCCTTTTTCATCTTAGCTTGTGGTTTGATCATTTTTCTGATCTATAAGATTGTTAAATTTAAGCAGAAACTAAAGACACCAGAAAACTCCGGGGAAAATAGACTTGAATACTATAGCTTTTATCAGTCAGCGAGGTATAATGTAACAGCCTCAATTTCTAACACTTCCCCAAATTCTCTGCAGAGTTCTGGCTTGGAGCAAGCTCAACTTCATAAACAAATAGTTCCAGAAAACGAAGCACAAGTCATAATCTTTGAACATTCTTCTTTATAATGAAACTGGGTATTGGCTATAAGAAAACTTTAATGCCTTGGCTATAAATACAACAGTAACCTCATTACAGATGTACATACTTTATTTGTAAATACATTTAATTATACATGGATTTATAGTTATTAAAACACATGGATTTTAATAATTTGTCAATAGTGTATCATTAAGCAGATATTTTATTTGGCAGACACGGTATTAATTAATAACTAAGAGTTGCCATTTCTGCAAAGCAAATATTATGCTAAACTCTCCAAGAATTGTATTTAATCCTTAAGCAGTCTTCTAGAGGTAGTACTAACTAATTTCTTAAGAAATGAATTCTTTAACTTGTGTCACTTTAAATCTGTATGACTGTTGATGCCATGCTCTTAGCTTCATGCTGTGGTGCTGCTTAGGTACTATGATTATAATTCCATGGACAGTGTTCTTTTTTTCTGTGCAAATTGAAATCAAGAGGAGGCACAATTGTTGTACAGTGCTGTGTAGTAAGTCCTATAGGTAAATGGTTGATAGTACAATGCTATATATAGTAAGTACTCTCTCTACTGGAGATATTACTGTTATAACATATGGAAGCCAGAAATTGTGAGGCGAAAAAGTATTGAAACTTGATCATAAAGTATAAAATAAATTAGTACAGTAAAGAAAACTGAGTAATCAGTAGAGATGACACCATATTTAAGAGCTAGAGAAAAAGAAAGCTGCTTTTCAAAAATGAAAACTATTTCACTATTGCTGAAATGTGAGTAGTGGTCTATTTTGGAAGCTCGCGAGAGTTATCAGATGATGAATGTTGTTGGGAGGTGCTGTTGAGTTGGTTCTAGCACAAAGTGCCTCAGTGTTTAACAGGCCAAAACATTTGTTTTTGAGCCCGTTGTCGTTAGCCACTAAGTCAGCCCATCTCATTGAGGATTTTCTTCTCTGACTCACCCTCTGTTTTACCAAGCTTGATGTCTTTCTCCAGGAACTGGTGCGTCCTGATAACATGCCCAATGAATGTGAGACTAACTCTCCCCATTATTTTGGTTTTAAGAAGCATTCTGGCTGTACTTTTTCCAATAGAGTCTTTTGGCAAGTCTATGATACAGTTAATATTCTTTGCTAACATCACAGTTCATAGGCATTAATTCTTCAATCTTAAAATATTATTTTCCGGTTTTCACGTGAATATGAAACAACTGAAAATGTCATTTGAATCAGCCACACTTTCGTCTTTAAAGTTACAACCTTGCTGTTTAGCACTTTGAAGAGATCCTTAGCAGATTTGACCAGTAGGATTAAATTTCTCATTCTTTGCTCCTTCTGTGAGTGTTGATTATAGATCCAGGTGACAGGAATTCTTGACAGCGTCTTTTCTTTGATTACCATGATGTTGCTTACAGGTCCAATTGTCAGTAATTCCCTCCCCCCACCCCCTTTGTGTTAAGGTTTAATCCACACTGAAGACTGTAGTATTTGATCTTCAGTAAGTGCTTCATATTCTCTTCACTTTCTCTACCTAGCTTGAAATTTTCTCACTTAACCCAGGCACAGTCTGCACAACAGATGAATGTTTTCTAAAGAAATCTGTTCATTTTATTTGTTATGTGCCGTCAAGTTGCATGCAGCTCATAGTGATCCCATGTACAGCAGCCCTAAACCCTGCTCTTTTCCATGCCAATCTTATTGTCTCTGGCACACCTATCTCCATTACCCCAGTCACTGACTCAGTCTACCTCATTGAGGATCTTCCTCTCCTGTGCTGTCCCTTCACCATCTCAAACATGAGGTTCCTCTCCAAGGACTGATCCCACCTTGCAATGTGTCCAAAGTATGTTAGATGAAGCATCAGAATCTTTGCCTCCGAGGAGCAACCTGGCTTCACCCTCTCCAGGACGAACTTGTTTGTTCTCTTAGCAGTCCATGGTATAGTCAACACTCTTCTCCAACACCACAGCTCACAGGCATCAATTCTCCTTCTATCATCCCTAGTCATTGTCCAGCTTTCTGATGCATAGCAAGTGATAGCAAAGACCACAGCCTGTATCAGGTGCACTTTCTTCTCCAGACTGACATTGTTACTCTTCAGTACTTTGGAGAGATCTCTGACAGCAAACTTTCCCAATGCAATTCATTTTATTTTAGAAGAGAATATGTGTTTCATCTCAAAAGACATTTTTAATAGTTTGCTGAATTTTGTTCCTGTCACACTACATCCTCCCCGAGTGGCCACAATTGACTCTTTTTTAATGACTGAAAATGTATATTCATTGAAAAATTTTATAAAATATAAGAGATTAAGGTGCGTTTGATACAGGCCATGGTCTTCACAATCACTTGTTATGCATCAGAGAGTTGGACAATGACCAAGGAGGATAGAAGGAGAATTGATGCCTTTGAGCTGTGGTGCTGGAGAAGAGTATTGAGAATACCATGGACTGCTAGGAGAACAAACAGATTTGTCCTGGAAAGGGTTAAACCAGGTGGCTCCTTGGAGGCAAGGATTCTGAGGCTCCATCTAACATACTTTGAACATGTTGTAAGGAGAGACCGGTCCTTAGAGAGGGACATCATGCTTGGGAGGGTGGAGGGACAGCGCAGGAGGGGAAGGCCCTCTGTGAGGTGGATTGATTCGGTGACTGGGATAATCGGGATGGGAGTGTCAGAGACAGTGCAATTGGCACAGGACAGAGCAGAGTTTAGGGCTGTTGTACATAGGGTCGCTATGAGTTGCAGGCGACTCGACGGCACATAACAACAACACAACAACAGGTTAGTAACCCTTCATGTCCCGATTCCTCACCTAAAGTATTCAATGTTAAAGATATTGAGAGTAGCATAGGTAACTATTCGGAGTAGTAAAAAATTCATTTCACATATGATCTTAAACCAGAATACTCCCCAATTTCAAAGAAGCCATTTTTTCCCCTTGCTTTAATTAATTTTAATGAAAGTTTACAGAGACCTAGGGTTTCCAGTCATTTGTTCTACTTTTCTCCCTGCCCAACCCTCCCATTCCCTTTTCCCCTTGAAAAGTAAAAGAAAAGCTCTTTCATTGTTGTGCAATCCCTCCCTCCAGGTCCACACCACTGTGCAGCAAAGAAGGCATTTTTTAAAAAATGCAATTGAATAGTTTTTCTTTATTAATACATAATTTGATTTAGGCCTGTGGAAAAACTTCAGTTTTCTTAATAGCTGTTTCTATCTGAAGCTAAGGAGCTCTGGTGACTTAGTGGTAAGGAATTGAGCTGCCAATGAAAAGGTACCTGGTTCTAATCCACCAGTTCCTCTGCGGGAGAGATGTGGGTAGTTTACTGCTCATGAAAACCCACTAGAGAGTCAGCTATGGATGGGTTCTGGCCTGACAGTACATGTGAACAACACGTATGAAGCTAGATACCCTACAACCAGATGCTCTACTGAAGAAGGAGCTCCTGTGCCAGTCAGATCCTATTCGACTGCACACAACAACAAAAACCATGGGGAGAAAAGATACCCTAATAGCACAGTGGTTACGCTCCTGGCTATTAACCAAAATGTTGGTTATTCTTCTTTGAAAATGTTAGTTTACATCACGTATTTGATTGATATTTACAACTAATATAACAATGAAACTTCAGATGAAAATTTTTTTAAGTAATGTGTGCATAATAATTTTGTAGTATAATGCTTGTATTTAACTATTTCACATTTTGACTAGTTTTACCTTTAATAAAACCAACTAAATTAAAGCCAAGTAATATGGTGAGTTAACGTAACTAAAGCACTTTGTTATTCTCAATATTATTTTCCTTTCCCTAACATTTACTAAAGATGCTTGATGATACCACTGCAGCATAGACCTACACTAATTTAGGAGAGCCCTGGTGGTGTAGTCCATGGAGTGTTGTGCTGCTAACCCAAAGGCCTGCCTTTGTTGCAATTTCAATCCATCAGCAGGTTCATAGGAAAAAGAAGGGCAGCCTCCTGTGTGACATGCAGCCTTGGACTCCATCTGGAAGATCAGCTAAAAGTCAGTTCTGACTCAGTAGCAATGAGAGAGAGGTCTTAAAATGATTGTTGTTGAAGGCTATTTTTAGATACGAATCTATTTTCCTATTGACTGTTTTCAACAATTGTTAAGGTTCCAGGCCATGCCAAAAAAAAAAAAAAAAAAAGTCAAGACTTTATCCCCATACGAAATGAGAAATAGAGCACACAACTATTAACTTACCATAATATCTAAACAAATAAAATTTTAAATTATATGAGGTTCCATTGTGAAGTTTCAGAAACATCTCTCTCATTTCTGTCATGTCTAGAAACTTACAAGCCCATCATAGCAAATGAGTTGAGAAGTCAAGATGGGTAATTTCTTGTGTGATTTATAGCTTTGCAAGCCTGCCAGAAGGTTAGCTATGAATTGGTTCTGACTCAGTGGCAATTAATTCCTGTTTTGATTCTTATTGCTGTCAAGTCTGAACTGACTCAGAGCTGACCCTCCAATTGGTTTCTGAGACAGCACATCACATGGGTGGAAATTGCCCACATTTATCCCTCAGAGCACCTGGTTACCACCAGAGAGATCTGGGCTTTGGGTTAGCAGATAACTCCTATAGACTGCTGCCAGAGAACTCCTGTCCAGAGCCAGGGACTGTGTATATTTGCACTTGCTTAGTCAGATTTGGAAGTCCTATGGGATAAAGTGGCTGTGTATAACCCAGTGCTTTGTCTTAGGCAATGACTTGCCAGTGGCAGCTGCAACCATGCTGTAATGAAGCTAGTGAGAGCACCCTGGCTTATTGTCATTGCATGGCAGGTCATGTGAAGCCACAGTTTGGGAGCTGTGATAGAAGCTGTGGGAATCAAGTTGTGCCATCCCAAACTCTACATTAATCCCACCTTCTGATGACTTTCCATCAAACCTTTCCTCTCTATTCCATCGTCGTATTTGCTGTTGGAAATTGAGCAAATGAGTATTGTTTTAGTTCATACCTGTAGAAGAAGGCTATAATTGGTAGATTTGGGGACTGAGATTTCTC